CACGCTATCCGGAACGTGTTAAAATACAGGGTTGGGAATGATTATATTCTTCGTAATATTGATGTACATATGAGAAGCTCTGATGTGAAGCTAGCAGCTCTAATCTTAGTCTAGGAGCGAATGAAAGAAATTTCAGCTTTGCATTCTCTACGAGTCACGGACGAGAGAATCACTGAAAAAGTCCACCGAATTTGGACTTTTGCTACTACGCACGAGTGGACCGAGGATACAGCGGTACCTGGTGACGTGATACAGGAGTGGGGAGTTCTATGCACTTTTTCTCAAAGAAAGCCATAGGAACGCTCGAATACAATAAGCTCTCGCTTTTTGAAAGAGTGTTCAGCTCAAGATTGCTCTGCACTTTTTTCAAAGCACAATAGCCTTTTTTCCTAGTGGTGAAGAGAAAGAAAAGAATTAGTCTAGCGTGTGCATCTACAGCCAGGTTCTTGAGACTCGCGGGGATGGTGCTGTGGGACGATCCACGTCTAGAGTGTTGCTTATCCCTCCTTTGACAGCGCCTGGTTATATTTGAGATGCCATTATGGCTTTCGGCGAGGATTCTTTTAGCTGCTTAGCGTTCTTGCATGTACAGTCGCAGAAAAAAAACTTGAAACAAGCTTTGAAAAGGCATTTTCATCTGTTCTAAGCTATCTAATCTCTTCTATACACCAGTATTAGGGTCAGAAGCTAAGAATATAATGTTATAATGCAATAATATTAAAATCTTGGTTAAGCGTAGATAGTGTAGTGGCAAGTGGCGATACAAGCGTGGTCTGGGGTTCGAAGCCCGGATCGGCTCCGTTTGAACCAACCGAGTTTTTCGTGACTACTGGGAAAATAAGAAGATAAAAAGTCGACTTCTACATTGGCAGCCTCGGATCCACCCGTAGATTTCCCCCCCCCCTTCATCAAAAAGCCTCATAAAATTCTGTCCCCGCAACGAATTCAGTCAACGAACTCTCTTTTTTAAAGCAGCTTTTTTTGAGTACTTGATTTGAACAAACAGCGTTTTCATTTACAGTTCGAACTTTTAGGTGAAGCTATCAAAAAAGCGCGACTCGTGCTTGTTTCAAGTTGTTTCCGCGACTGTATCTCTACGACTGACTAGTGAAAACGTGAAAACTGCATAGGCTCCAAGATTATAATGAAGCAACTGTTTTTCACCAAGCGAGCCAAGAATACAAAAGACGATCCTGAAGGGAATCACTCTCATGCCACCGTCTTGCAAGGGTAATGACAATTCTTATGATTAGACACTGCTGTGCACAAGCTCTCAAAGAATACAAAATTCAGTTCAAAGATCAGCATGTTCAAAATTAGATCATGATAAAAACCCAAAGGGCAACTCCACTACCGGTCGATTGATCGTAATAAGGTTTTGGTGTAAGAAAGCAATGAATCATGCCCTGGTTGCTACTGCGACCGCTATGAGAAGGGGACGTGTTCTAACAAGGGTTCAACGACAAAGAAATCAAGTGAAAATTTTGCGATTATTTTACATTTTGTTCTCTTCTCTCAACATTTCACCACTCACAGCGATACAATGTGTATTCGCCCACGGCAACCTCATCAAAAACCCCGCACAACCAAAGCGAACACGAAAAATGTTTCGAAACAAACTGTGCACTCGCCTACTTCTTCTCATGGATGTAGGTGCATTCACAGCTGCAGTAACGTTCCAACTAAAACTGAGAGGGCGGAGACAAGTAGCGCGTTTGCTTATGGTAAGGCGTGTAGCTGAGCAGACGGACTCGGGCGACGCCACCTGGGTATTACCACTCTCCAGACCTACAGATGCATTTTTGAGTGGTTTTTTCAACACAACAATTCATTTCAAGTAACAAAACTAATCGAAAAGATCGTTTTGTTGTTTGCTGACTTGGTTTTATCACATTCCTCCTTTGCTGACTTGGTTTACCCTTCAGCCCAAGAGCCGGAGGTCTCAGAGCTGCAACTCCGCCGGTGATCTGAATATGTACCACGTTCGGCTACCAGTTTTCGATGTTCGCTATTTGGAGCCGTGACATGACGAGCTTCTCAGCTTGATATCTCCTCCAACGCCAAGAGTGTCCCTGTAT